TGGGGTCATATCCCTTCCAGCGTATCAGGAACTCAAGGGTCTTGCCGCCGCGGCGCCGATGAGTGAGAACGCGCTCGATCTCGTACTCCGGTTCATCCTGCATAAGAACAGGTGGAGGTGGCGGTAGCTGCCGTCCCTGGAACTGGTGGTTGGGGTCCTTGTAGGGTTTCAGTAGCTGAACATGGAAAGCATTGTGAAGCTTCCACGTATCTGGTAAGCGCAAGCGGAATGTAACTGGTGTCACCTGTGCCTCTACGAGAAAAGGACCACAGAAGCGAGGCCAGAGTTTGGATGGTAGGTGAGACAGGTTCAAGTTGCGCGTGTCGAGAAGCACCTGATCTCCGACTGCTACTGAGTGATCTCGTCGCTGGCGATCGGCATACTGCTTCTGGGAGTTCTGCATCGTGGTGAGACGTCGCTGAGTCTTCTCCCATAGCTGCTGCATGGTGGTGACGAAGTCGTGTGCGGCTTGGACGTGTGCCGGTGTGGTCGGCTGCTGTGGTGTGAGTGGTTCCCGTCCATAAGACAGGAAGAAAGGGGTTTTCCCTGTGGCCGCATGTGAAGCATTGTTGTAAGCGAACTCTAAGGTCGGTAACTGTGTGTCCCAGTGGCTGATGTCGTCCTTGCAAGCTGTACGCAGTAACTGTTCAACCACCTGATTGAGTCGCTCCGTCTGTCCGTCAGTCTGGGGATGGTATGCTGAAGACATGGCAAGCTTGGTCCCCAGCAGTCCCATAAGCTCCTTCCAGAACTTACTTGTGAATTTTGGGTCTCTGTCTGAGATAAGTGTAGCGGGGATGCCGTGGATGGTGATGATGTGGTCGAAGAAGAGGCGAGCAATTGCTTCAGCTGTAGCTGTGGCGTTGGTCGGTATGAAATGACCCATTTTGGAGAACTTATCGATTACTACGAGGATGGAATCGTGTCCCCGTGAGGTCGAGGGAAGTCCTGTGATGAAGTCGAGGCTAACGACCTGCCATGGCTGCTCCGGTACGGGTAGAGGTTGAAGTAACCATGCTATTTTCTGCTTGCTACTCTTCATCCGCTGGCACGTGTCGCATGAGGTGACGAACTGCTGCACGTCTGCTGCCATCCGGGGCCAGTAGTAATACTTCGCTATTCCCGCTAACGTCTTGTTGCTCCCGAAATGTCCCGCGTATGGTACGTCATGAAACTCCTCTAGAAGGATCTGCCGTAGCGGGGCGTAGTTCGGTACCCAAATCTTTCCTGAACCCTTCCTTACCGCTAAGTCTTTCTCCCACTGTAACAGCTTCTTTGTCTCTGCCGTTGCGATCTCGCCGTCCACGGAGTACCCATGTTGGAATAGACCCTTGAGCAGAGGGTTCATCCCGTCGAGCTGGATGCCTGCTACATGATCGGGGCGGCTCAACGCGTCAGCTTTGTTGTGGAGCCCGGGTTTGTAGACAATGTCGTAGTGGAAGTGAGTTTCCAAGAAATCCACCCACCGCACCTGTCGTCGTGAAAGCGTCGGCTGCGACTTCAGGTACTTAAGACTGCAGTGGTCAGTGTATACTGTGGTCTTGGCTCCCTCTAGGTAACACCTCCATGCCTTGAAGGCTACGACTATAGCTAAGGCTTCCTTGTCGTGAATGGGGTAGTTCAGTTCTGCTCCGTGTAACTTCTTACTGAGGTAGGCGATAGGCTGTAAACCGTTCCCGTGATCCTGCATCAGTACTGCTCCGACTGCTTGGTCACTAGCGTCTGCTTCAACTACGTAGTCCTTGTCGGGGTCCGGTAGGATGAGTACTGGCGCTGTGGTCAGTGCTGTCTGTAGCTGCTCCATGGCTTGCTGATGAGGAGTATCCCATTTGAAGGGCGTATCCTTTTTCAGTAGGTCGATCAATGGCGCTGCTATCTTAGCGTACTGCGGCACAAACCTGTTGTAGTAGTTGGCGAAGCCGAGGAACTGCTGTAACTCCTTCACGTTCTCCGGAACTTTCCACTTTTTAACGGCTTCGATCTTCCGCGGGTCCACGTGTACGCCCTCAGCACTCACCATGTGCCCGAGAAACTGCACCTTCTTCAGGGCGAAGTCGCTCTTCGACAGCTTCACGTAGAACTTGTTTTTCCGCAGGATCTCGAACACCTTCTGCAGATGCTCCATGTGCTCCTTCATGTTCTTGGAGTAGATGAGGATATCGTCCAGGTACACTACTACGCACTCGTCCAGCAGGGGCCGTAGGATGTGGTTCATCTCCACCTGGAACGTCGCTGGTGCGTTGCAGAGTCCGAACGGCATCACTAAGTACTCGTAACAGGACCACAATACGGCCATAAGGGTCCCATGGAGGTGTAACACTGATCTTCAGTGTTGCTTTCTTAGAAACACTGATTTTCCAGGGTTAGTAAAAAAAAAACACTGAACACACAGGCTGCCGTTTCAAAAAACATTGATTGAGCCAGCCGAGGGGGATGGAACCCTGTGATGTGGAGAGCAAGAATGAGAGATTCAAGAGACACCCTCCATGGGTCAGCTTGTCGGACCGCACCACCACGCCCTTGCGTGGTGAAACGGACACCATTCACCACTGGTCCACTGCGTTTGTGCGCAGCCAGGCCAAGAAAAACAAAATAGTCAGAGAATGAAGCATTAAAACCTCTGGAACATCCACTAGAATAGCGCCGTTGTGCAAACACCGCCCAAAATCAGCCAGGTAAGCTGTATCGGGTCAAGCCGCATGGTGGCGTCAATGCACGGTGGGTACATGAATGATGACGGCGCGCCAATACCGTATTCTCTCGGATATAAGACCCGGGGGACTTTCCTAAAATAGAGGCAAAATGACTAGGGTAGACATTAAATCGGCACGAGTTGTAAGAGTCCCGGGAACACTTAATAATCAAGTACAGTTATGTGATTTAGGGGTGTACAATTGAATTTGGAGGGGGGGGGGGGGTGGGTTATGTTCGAAGCAAAAAAAACACCCCGCGTGCGCGAAATTCGCACGCGCGGCGCGTCAGAAGTGTCAAATCTTGTATTCGACGCGATTGGTGTTTCAAAACTTGAGTCTGACACGAATGACACGTCAAAATTTGGAGTTTGTACCTCTAAAAGCTGATGCGCAATTCATTTTGAACCGCTGTATACAGAAAAGAGGGGGTTTTATAATGATTATATGCAAAAGGGGGGTCCTCTCACTTTTGGTGCATATTAAGAGTCCCAGTACCTACCCGAATACAAGTCTCGGGGGTCCTTTTTTCGGGAGGGTCATATATCCGGGAGAATACAATATCCAAGAATCGGAGTTTTCTGTTTTAGGGTCGACCCCGATACAACACTGACTCGTCAGTGTCATCAAACAAAAAAACATTGAAAATTCAGGGTTCCAAAAAAAAAAAACACACACCGATCCATCAGCAGGGCCTCAGAAGTCACAAATTTTACCTTGATTTCTTGAAGTTTGACCCTTATTTTTTATTGTGACCCTAATGGATCAATGTTTTTTTGTTGGGAACCCTGAATTTTCAGTGTTTTGTGTTTGATGGCACTGACGAGTCAGTGTTGTATCGGGGTCGACTCTGAAACAGAAAACTTCGAATTTTGCATATTGGCGCGCCGTCATCATTCATGTACCCACCCGGGGCCTCAGAAGTCAGGAACTTTACCCTGATTTCCTGAAGTTTGACCCGTGTTTTTATTGTGACCCTGATGAATCAGCCTTTTTTTTTCAAGGACCCTGATGGACAGGGCCTCATATTCGTTTTAGGGTACCCTGAGCACTCAGAGTCCTATGGAGGTGTAACAATGACACTGATCTTCAGTGTTGCCTATTTAGAAACACTGATTTTCCATGGTTAGTGAAAAAAAAAACTGAGCACACAGGATGCCGTTTCAAAAAACACTGATTGAGCCAACCGAGGGGGATTGAACCTGTGATCAGGCCCTACGATATCAGGAATTGTTCCCTGAAATTCCTGATTCTTAGGGATTTTTTTGTACCTACCCTGATTTTCCAGTGTTCAGCTTTTTGTGGGACTGATATTTCAGCCTTTTCCTGGCAGATGACTCTGAACCTTCAGGTTTTTTTTTCTTTAAGGACCCTGATTCCACTACGTTGTACCAAAACTGACAATGAATGCGATTCCTACAAGTTCCGAGTGTATTTGCTCGGAAGTATAGGGAATCTCGGATTCCCGCGGTGTCAGCACTGCCTGGCGGTGATTACGAGACAAAATTGCTCCGTGTTTTTTCACTTTGAGACAAAATTGCTCCATTCTGCTCCATGCTTTCCATTCGCGGGGGGTTTTCTCGCGTTCCTGCCTGGTGTACCAAGAGGCAGTCAACCGTGTGGTTTAGTTCGGTAAAAAAAGTCTTTTTTCTTAGAGAACACTGATGCTTCAGGGCTTTTTTTTAAGTGACACTGATTTTTCAGGCTTTTTTTCTAAGGGACACTGTCAATCAGGGATTCCATGCAGAGGGACCCTGATCCATCTACGTCCCTCAAAGTGAATCTGAGGGCCTGCCTGTGATGTGGAGAGCAAGAATGAGAGATTCAAGAGACCCCCTGCATGGGTCGGCTGGTCAGACCGCACCACCACGCCCTTGCATGGTGAAACGGACACCATTCACCACTGGTCCACTGCGTTTGTGCGCAGCGAGGCCAAGAAAAACAATAAAGTCAGAGACAACGAAGCATTGAAACACCTGGAACAGCCACTCGAATAGCGCCGTTGTGCAAACACTGCCCAAAATCAGCCAGGTAAGCCGTATCGGGTCGAGCCGCAGGGTGGCGTCAGTGCACGGTGACCTCTTTACAAATCTTTGTCACAACCCTCAAGGTTTGAAATATTATTCAAAATTATGCATATCTTAGGAGGCACATTTAAACCTTTCGACATTGTTCTTGTACCACCCCTCCTCCCCCTCCCCCTCCCTCCTTTCCCTAGTCCACCATCATTCTCCTTACCTACCTTAGCTAGTTAGTTTCTGAGACAAGATGCTTCCATACCGTATTTGATGTCAAAATGAAGGTGCTCTCTCACACCACTTTGTCCACGTCGCTGACATCAGGGATTGCAACATCGAGCCTAAAGTACCTCCGCCATTTATCAGGAACAGGTGCCCCGGCCTGCACACAGAGCTCCACGAGCGCCGGCACGCGGCCGTAGAAGGCCCTCAGCTCGTGCAGCAGTGGGGGGCCGGAGGGGTGGCGCGTGTGGTAGATAGGCACGGGGGGGAGCAGGTCGGACAGCACTGCCGGCTGCCACCCATGCTGGCCATGGCGCCACTGCTGCTTGGAGGCATTGCACAGGCGCACCTGGGAGCAGGGAGGACGGAGAGACGAGGGATGTGTGAGTTGTGACATTCTGGCCATTCGTGAGCTCAAGACGGGGTTTCAGGGGAAGGGGAGCAGAGCTGCCTGCTGGCGTTGCTGGTGATGGTGGCAGTGCTTGCTGAGGTGCACTGAAGCATGCAGCACAGCACTTGATACAACAGACTTGAAGATGCAACAGACTTGAAGATGCAACAGACTTGAAGATGCAACAGACTTGAAGATGCAACAGACTTGAAGATGCAACAGACTTGAAGATGCAACAGACTTGAAGATGCAACAGACTTGAAGATGCAACAGACTTGAAGATGCAACAGACTTGAAGATGCAACAGACTTGAAGATGCAACAGACTTGAAGATGCAACAGACTTGAAGATGCAACAGACTTGAAGATGCAACAGACTTGAAGATGCAACAGACTTGAAGATGCAACAGACTTGAAGATGCAACAGACTTGAAGATGCAACAGACTTGAAGATGCAACAGACTTGAAGATGCAACAGACTTGAAGATGCAACAGACTTGAAGATGCAACAGACTTGAAGATGCAACAGACTTGAAGATGCAACAGACTTGAAGATGCAACAGACTTGAAGATGCAACAGACTTGAAGATGCAACAGACTTGAAGATGCAACAGACTTGAAGATGCAACAGACTTGAAGATGCAACAGACTTGAAGATGCAACAGACTTGAAGATGCAACAGACTTGAAGATGCAACAGACTTGAAGATGCAACAGACTTGAAGATGCAACAGACTTGAAGATGCAACAGACTTGAAGATGCAACAGACTTGAAGATGCAACAGACTTGAAGATGCAACAGACTTGAAGATGCAACAGACTTGAAGATGCAACAGAGCACCTCAAGTTGAATAACACCACACGCTTAGAGCACCTGAAACTACAACAGAGCACCTGAATAATAGCAGAGGGCAGCTAGAGGTGAGCATGAGAGTAGCGTGCAAGCAGGATGGTGAGTGAGCTGTAATGCACCACAGCAAGTCCCAGCACCCAGCCTCATGCCCGCCCATGCTCCCCCATGGCCCCCCATAGCCCTCCATGGCCCTCATGCCCCCCATTTCCCCCCCATGCACGTGCATGTGTCCCCATGCTCGCCCATGCTCTCACCTTGTGCCCGGCAGCACCCACGTGCACCTCAGGGCAGTACCCGCACACCATCACGGGGTACTTGCCCATCAGCCCCTCCACGCCGTCCCTCACCGCCTCCCACTCCCTCAACGCCTCCTCTGCCACCTCCCTCACACTCCCCTCCCCTTCCGCTGCTCCTTCCCCATCCTCTCCTCCCTCTTCTTCCTCCTCCTCCCCCTTCCCTATCGCCTTCCAATCCGCCTCTGTATTGCTCCTCCGCTCCAACCTTCTCTCCATCCTGCCCCCATCACCCCCCTCCACCACCCCTCGCCACCCCCCCTCCCCCCGCCTCATCATACCCCTGGACCGCTCGTCCCACGCCACCTCCGCCCCCACTGCTTCCATCTCAGCCATCTCCACAATCGCCTTCACCACATCCCCCTCGTCCCCCTTATAAGCTCCCTTGGTAAACACTCCTGACTCCGATTCGCCCTCCAAGCCTGCCATCCAGGCCCGGCCGGTGCCAGGCCTGGTGGTTTGCACAGGTTCGGTTCGGCGCACGGTGCGCAAGCCTGGCAGGTCTACACCCGCCTGAGGGAGGGGAAGTGGAAGGGAGAAGTGGAGCAGAGGGGGTGGATGGTGGGGAGGCCAGGGGATGGTGGGGAGGCCAGGGGATGGGTGAGGAATTGATGGTGTGCAGAGGGTGTGCAAGACAGAACATGGGTTGGATGATCGATCACGTGTTGAGCGCACAGCACGCGGACTTGTTGTGGGTTGGGTGCATGCCTCGCTTGTTCATGCATGCAAGAGGCTCTACAGAGAGCAGCGAGTGGGGAAGGGAGGGATGGTGGCGTGCGAGTGGGGAAGGGAGGGATGGTGGCGTGCGAGTGGGGAAGGGAGGGATGGTGGCGTGCGAGTGGGGAAGGGAGGGATGGTGGCGTGCGAGTGGGGAAGGGAGGGATGGTGGCGTGCGAGTGGGGAAGGGAGGGATGGTGGCGTGCGAGTGTGCGAAGAAGGGCGGCCATGGCGCTGGGAGACCCACCCTCGCCCAGCCTGCAGGGGGGCGGGGAGGGGTGGGATGACTTATAAGTAACCTGAAAGCTCACCTGAACTTGATGAATGGCATCAACATGAACAATCGACTGAACCTGAAAATCGTTGAACCTGAAGAATCACCTGAATGCACAGCTCTATGACAGCTGGGATCCTCTCCACATCAAATCTCGCCTCGTGCGGCACACGGGGGCGCAGACGATCGGGCAGATGAAAACTTTCGATGACCGGGAGGATGTCAGAGGGCGTGGCAGGCGCCCATTCATGGCTGCTCGGGCTGCCCGAACGGCTGTGCAGCTTCGGACCCTTGCAGTTACGGATGGCATGGGGGTGGCGGGCAATGGAGACCTCCGGACACCGCCTGGGGGGATGGGGGAGGGGGAAAGACGGGAGAGAGGGCAAGGGGGCTTAGGCGAGTAGATGCGTTGGAAGGTGGAGGGACTTGTTCAGACCGCGCATGAGCACATGGCGTGGGGGTGGCGGGCAATGGAGACCTCTGCACACCGCCTGTTGGGTGGGGGTGGGGGAGGAGGGGCAAGAGCGACGGCGACGGACTTAGGTGACTAGAGGGGGTCAGTTTGGTTTGAGGTAGAGGGAATTCTGAAGGTTGTGGATGGCGTGGGGGTGCTGGGCAATGGAAACCTCTGGAGAGCACCTGGAGGATGGGGAAGATGGGGGACGTGGACCAAGGGGGCGATGTGGCGGTGGGGGGCGTGGGGATGGAGGAAAAGGGGCGGTTAGAGTGGTTCGCAAAGGAGGCTTGCAACGGCCCTTGCCATGGTGGTGATGGCAACATGTGCGCATTGGCAGGGGGGATGGGCGAGACGCTGGACATGGAGTCGAGAGAGCAGCGAGCAGCAGCGGCGCCAGAGAAAACGCCAGCAGCACCAGTTTAGGGTGAGCGAGTGCGAGCGCGCTTGATGCGAGTAGCAGCAGCAGCAGCAGCAGCAGCAGCAGCAGCAGCAGCAGCAGCAGCAGCAGCAGCAGCAGCAGCAGCAGCAGCAGCAGCAGCAGCAGCAGCAGCAGCAGCAGCAGCAGCAGCAGCAGCAGCAGTGGCAGCGGCGGCGGCGGGGTAGGTGGTAGTGGTGGTGGATCGGTGGTGGTAAGGGCAAGAAAAAGGTGAGGGTCGGGTCGGGTCGGGTCGGGTCGGGTCGGGTCGGGCCAATGCCCAAGCCTAGCCGTAAACGTATAGTTAGACGCTTCTTATGGCATTCCGCAAGCCACTAGCATGTTTGACCAGGTCGGGTATCGGGTATCAAATACCCGAACTTGAACACCCGGGTCAGGTATCGGGTATCAAATACCCGAACTTGAACACCCGGGTCGGGTATCGGGTATCTGTTACCCGATGCGGGTATACACTACCCGACCCGCCCGGGTAGTCAAATTTGAATTGAATTCCTGACCCGTCTAAAAGGTCGGGTCGGGTCGGGTCCGACCCGACCGGGTACTTTGCCCATGCCTAGCCCTAGGTGAGGGTGTTAAGGCGAGGGTGTTAAGGCGAGGGTAGCTGACCCAGCGGAGAGGCGTGGTGGGGGAAGGAAGGTGGGGAAGAGGGAGGAGCAGCGGCAGCAGCAGCAGCAGCGGCCCAACCTGCACGAGGCAATGCCTCCAGCAGCCTTTGGATGGTGGCGTGCAGCTGAACAGGGCAGTGCGGAACCTGTACAGCGCAACGCACTGGGCCTACCTGCACGCATGAGCGGGCACGGCGTCAAGCAGGCGTGGGAGCTTCGCCTGCAGGGACAGCCAGAGCGCGAGAGTGCGGTGCGCCACGGGCACCAGGCGGGGGACCAGCAGCCCGTTGTGCGGCGCGCCAAGGGGGGTTGGCGGAAGCCCCTTTTCCGCCAGTTTCCGCCTGCGCGCCGCGTCCCCTTTCATTTTCTCCACAGCCTGCCCAAACCTCCGTCTCTTCTGCAATGGCGTCTCCCCCAGCGCCCCCTCCGCCTCAGCTTCCGCCTCCACGTTCCCCTCGTCTTCCGCCCATCTCCACCCCACGCGCACGCGCAAGGCTTCCGCTTTAACCCCCCCTATGCGCACCCACCCTTGCGCCTCCCCCTGCGCGTCTCTCCTGTTGCGCCCGCTCTCATTCCGCGATCCCTCTGGTAACTTCTCCGTCCCCCTCACCTCCCGACTTTCCCCTTCCTGCGATCCGCTCCCCCTTGGTCCGCGCTTCTCCCCACCCCCTTGCTGCGCGGGCCTCGGTCCGCGGCTTCCGCCCGCTCCGCTTTCCGTTGATACCGCGCCGCGTTCAACCCTCCTGCTAGCGACTGTTATATTTCCGATAGGGGGAAATGAATTCTCGCTGCCAGAATTTCGGAGAGAGTAAGCAGAAAGGAATCTGCCGGAGCTAAGAGCAGGGTGGAATGTCGAGGTAAGCCGAGGCGCGAAGAATTGGCTGGATACACGTGGCAAGCGGGCGAGTAGAGAGAGGCTAGAGGAAACGAGTTGCAGATACGACATTACTTGTCCTCGCTATAAGGACGGAGGATAAAAACGTGCCCTGAGCTGACTGTCCAGCAAACCAAGCGTTGGCGACTTAGGGAACATGCACTCGCGATGAGGTCATGCTATCAGACCATGACGAGGCGATGCATTCGATCCTAAACTTCGGACGAGATTGCGCGATCCGACTGAACGCGAAATTGTCTCAAAACCGTGGACCGCGTTTTGACCACGGTTTTATCGTCATCTCGTGACCTGATTGAACGCTCAGTGCAATAAAGGCCACGCAGATGCTACGATCGGCGTGCTGAAGGGTGACCGAGGCGGTGGATTCGCTGGCTGGATCGTTGCGGCATCCTAAGTGCCCATCTCGCTGCCGTGTGCGCTGCTGTCGGGCGTCCTAAGTGGCAATTCTCCTCCTAAGCCCACTGCTGGGCGTCCGAGATGGTGGTCTCACTGGCTAGCGCGTTGCAAGGCGTCTTAAGCTTCGATTGCATCCCTAAGCGCGTTGTAGCGCGTTCCACGTGGCGATTTCACTCTGAAGCACACTGCAAACGGCCGCGTGTGATTCGTTCCTAACATCCCAAAAATCGTTCTGGGGGAGAAGTCGTATATAGAGTTGAAGTACCCACCTTGGCGCCAGGAACGAAGTATTTTCGAGGTCGAAGCATTGTTGATAAGTTGTACAAGGGTTATTGTACTTGGATCATTGTACTTGGACACATCGCACACAGCAAATACCCCTGAATAAACTCGACACATTGTACTTGTCAAAAGTAAGTCTCAGTCTGTAACCTATTCCCTCTTGGTGTCGACTCTGTTGCTGCTGATACACATGATGCCCAACCCCTGCACGCGAAATTGCCCTGCACATTCAGAAAGCTTGCACGCTTGGGTTTTTTGCCGGACAGTTGCACCCTCGTTACAAGCACGTCAACCAATACGAACCACAGAAACTGAAGTTTGACCGAAGTCAAAACGTCAACGGTGAGTTACAAAATTTTGTTATAAGCCCTTTTTGCCCGAAGCGAATTGACGAAACCTCCACGAAATGCAAGAATCGCTTATAAGCCCAGAGGGTAGCGCGAGGTCGGGGGACTCAACCGGGCATCGTGTGTACGGTAGATCATATGGAAAATATGTCAATGGTAACTTACATGGGGCACTATAACGCGTACGGTAACGATTTCAACGCGTTTGGTAACTCGCTTAACGCGTTTGGTAACTCGCTTAACACGTTTGGTAACTCGCTTAACGCGTATGGTAACTATACACTAGCAGCCCATCACGCGAATGGTAACTACACAGATGAAACTCCCGCCCAAAATGACCATGATTCTGGTTTTTTCCGCTCGCGTCAAACTAAATTGACGAATCTTGAAGCAGAAACTTCTGACACACTCTCTGAAATTCTGACACAGTTTTCCAAAATTCTAACAAGCTTTCCGAAATTCTGACACACTTTCTGAGTTTCAAGCAAATTGCAAAAATGTAAGTTTTGTGAAAACAACGTTTTATACATAATTGATATTCTGGCGCTCTTTCCACAAACTGTTTGTACTTAATTCCATCGTGCAGCGGGGGCAAATAAACCTATACCCATTCAGATGGCAAATGAATTTGAGGGCATCAACCCTAAACTCCTTGCGATAAGCTGTTTATGGTTATTTCTTCAAAAATGATGTCAAACATTATATATGGTGTGGTTGTTTAGGCTACAGTGGGTTAGCCTTTAGGGGGTACACAATTCTAGGGTTAGGTACTTGTACTGATTTCACTGCTAGTTCAATCATTCCTGTTCGTTCATTCTGACATGGTTTCAGAGCAGGTCCTTCGCTAGGACCGTTTTTTTTTAGGGCCCACCGCTACTGCCTACCTACCTACCTACCTGCGCCCTAGTGCGCCTCGTTTTTTCACGGCCCCGTAAGGCCCCGCGACCCGCGACCCGCCCCTTAGCGACCCGCGCGCCGCCCCTTTACGGCCTCGTCGCCTTCACGCGCCGCCCCTTAGCGGCCCCGTCGGCCCCGCGTTCGCCTTCTAGAGGCCCCTTACGGCCCCGTGCTCGCCCCTAGAGGCCCCTTACGGCCCCGTCGCAGCCCCTTAGAGGCCCCGTCGGCCCCGCGCGCTGTCGCCTCCCTAGAGGCCCCTTAATGCCTCGTCGCCGCCCCTTAACGGCCCCGTCGGCCCCGCGCTCACCCCTAGAGGCCCCTTACGGCCCCGCGCTTGCCCCTAGAGGCCCCTTACGGCCCCGTCGCCGCCCTCTTAGAGGCCCCTGGTCGGCCCCGCGTTCGCGCCTTAGAGGCCCAGTCGGCCCCACCAGAACCGAGCCGCCCCACGTGCGACCGCCACGGCCCCTCCAGGACCGAGCCCCCCCGAACCGAACCGCCCAGTCCGAACCGAGCCGCGCGACCCGAACCGAGCCGCGTCGCCCTACCCGAGCCGCGCCGCCCTACCTGAACCGAGCCGCGCCGCCCGTACTGAGCAGCCCCTCTGGACTGAGCCGCCCTACCTGTCTCACACTGCTTACGGCTTCTAGGGTGCTCCCACTGCTACTGCTACTGCTGCTCCTACTTCTCCTATGACTAGCCCGCCTGTGCTAGCTTTCGATGCTGAGGGCCGCCCAGTGAAGTTTGACACCTGGCTAGATGACCTGCACCTCTTCCTACAGCTCACTGCCAAGGAGGACATCTCACTGTACGATCACGCCCTAGGCCATGCCACTGCACCTGCTACTACTGCTGACAGCTCTACCCGCTCACAGTGGCAGACTCGTGACGCCCACGCTCGCTTTGCTATTCGCAACTCCCTGCCGATAGATGAACGCGAACACTTTTGGCCAGCACAAGACTGCGCAGGCACTGTACACTGCTGTCGTTGCCCGCTACTCCTCACCTGCCTCTGCCGCACTAGGCCGTCTCTCGCTTCCCTACCTGTTCCCCGACCTGTCCTCTTTCCACACAGTCGCTGACCTCATCACGCACCTCCGCACTAGTGAGGCTCGCTTCCGCGCCGCTATGCCTGATGAGTTCCTTGCCAAGAACCCCCCCCCGCTCTGGCTCACTCTCTACCACCTAGTCACCCGCCTCCCTGACTCTCTGCGTGCAGTCAGGGATTCCTTCCTAGCTCGCTGCCCTACTGAGCTCACCATTGCCCTCCTCGAGAAGGAACTACTTGCAGCTGAGGCTAGCATAGTCGCTGTAGGTGCCTCTCGTGGCGACCCCCGCACCCCGTTCTTTGAGGGGTGTTCTCCTTCCCCCCTTCTTCCCTCTGTCGCCTCTGCTGCTGCTGTCGACCTCGTTGGTGCTGAGAAGGTCGGGACTGCGTCTGCTTCGAGCGGACGCCGCAGCGGCAAGGGCAAAGGGGGCAAGGGAAGCGGAGCTGACGGCGGGGGAGGGGGTGGTGGGGGCGGTGGCGGCGGTGGGGTGGTGGCGGGGCTGGAGGGGCGAGTGGCAGCGGTGGGGGTGGTGGCGGCAGCGGCGGGGGAGGTGGCAAGGGCGGGGGCGGTGGTGGGGGTGGCGGTGGACGCGGCGGCGGCAGGGGTTGGGGTGGTCGAGGAGGTGGGAGCGGAGGTGGTGGTCGTGGAGGCGCTGGCGGTGGCCAGAGCCAGCAGCACACTCCGTCGCCCCAGGAGGTCCGTGAGTGGTACTCTCAGCACGGGGGGGGTGGTGGCTTTAGCTGCACGTACGTCATTCGCACTGGTGACCGCACTGGTCAGCCGTGTGGGGGACCACACGCTACGCAGCGCTGCTTCGCTCGCCTCAACGACGCTTGGCGTGTTCAGTTCCCTCAGGCCACTGAGCTGCCCCGCTGGGTTGATCTCCTGAAGAAGGGGATTGATATCTATGCTCTAGACTTTGATGCTATTCTCACTGCCATATATGCGATGTCTATTAGTGGAGAGGGTGCTGAGTACCTGTGTGTTCCGCCCGACCCGGGCATTAGGACCAGTGCGTCTGCCGCTTCAGGTCCTCGCGTGTCTGCTACCTCAGGTGCTGGTGAGGCTGCTGCTCTAGGTGCTTGTGCGTCTGCGCCCCCTGGTACTGAGTCGACTGAGGCACTACACACCTTCACACTGGACTCAGGTGCTTCTCGCTACTTCTTTCGTGACCGCACTGTCCTTGAGCCGCTTGCTCGGCCAGTTGCTGTCTCCCTCGCTGACCCCTCTTGGGGCCCGGTCGTTGCGGCCTCCTCCACTGTCCTTCCCTGTCCTGCGGTCCCGTCAGGCACACTGTCAGGTCTCCACCTCCCCTCGTTCTCTACGAACCTGGTGGCGGGTTGTGCGCTCCAGGACGCGGGTGTTCACCAGTTCACCCCTGCCTACGAGCGCGTGACACACTGCACGTGTGCTCGTACGGGCCGCCACTTGGCTACCTTCACTAGGCAGCCGGGGTCGGACCTGTACACACTGACCACTGAGTCCCCTCAGGTCGCTGCGTCTGCGTCTGCGTCTGTGTCAGGTCAGCTGTCGGCCCCCTGCTCGTGTCGCTCTCTGACGCATGAGACTGTCCTCTGGCACCACCGACTTGGCCACCCGTCTGTGCAGCGCCTTCGTGCCATGCACAAACGGTACCTTGTCTCTGGTCTTCCCAGGGTCCTCCCTCCCCTCCCACCCTCGCCTGCTCCTCCCTGTCTTCCCTGTGTCGAGGGGCGGCAGTGCGCCGCTCCTCACTCCTCCTCGTTTCCCCCGACGACTGCTCCCTTGCAGACGTGTGGGGCCCAGCCCGCGTCCGTGGTCAGGGTCAGAAGAGGTACTTCCTGATAGTTGTTGACGACTACAAGCGCTACACCACGGTCTTCCCCTTGCGCACCAAGGGTGAGGTCCCTGATGTTTTGATCCCTTGGATCCGCAGAGCTCGTCTCCAGCTCAGCGAGCGTTTCCACTCGGACTTTCCTGTCCTGCGCTTGCACTCTGACAGAGGTGGTGAGTTCTCCTCCGACCTCTTGGCAGCCTACTGTGCTGAGCACGGCATTGAGCAGTCGTTCATGCTTCCGGCCTCTCCACAGCAGAATGGGGTTGCGGAGCGCCGCATTGGCCTAGTCATGGAGGTCGCCCGTACCTCCTTGATCCATGCGGCTGCCCCCCACTTTCTGTGGCCGTTTGCGGTCCGGTACACTGCGCATCAGCTCAACCTCTGGCCCCGTGTCTCCTTGCCGGAGACCTCGCCCACACTGCTGTGGACGGGGGAGGTTGGCGATGCGTCGCGTTTCCGGGTCTGGGGATCTCGAGCTTTTGTCCGCGATACGTCCGCGGACAAGCTCTCCACCCGCGCTGTTCCCTGTGTCTTCCTTGGCTTTGTCCCTGACGCGTCTGGTTGGCAGTTTTACCACGCCACCTCGCGCCGGGTCCTTGCCTCTCAGGACGTCACTTTTGACGAGTCCGTTTCCTACTACCGCCTCTTCCCCTACCGCACTGCCCCGCTCCCCCCCCGCCTCTCTTCCTCGCGCCAGGTGCTGCTGTGGTAGACCCCCTCCCCCCTCAGGGTGCCGCTCCCTCAGG